GAAGGTTAAGACACTAAGCATTCAGGTAGAGATGTTAAATAGCTCAGTCTAGAGAACTCATAGGTGGGGAAAAAATTTGAGTCATTACTATTGTGATAGTACTTCAAATCCTATAGCTGGAGAGATAACCAGGGGAATGAATGTAGACAGGACAGAGTTTAGGTGGAGTAGGATGGCCTCTGATCACTGTGGCAGATCAATGTTTTGATGTCATGGAGAAGAGAAAGGGCAACTATTGATATACAAGAAAACCAAGAAAATATGGTGTTTTGAAGTCAACTGGTGTTGCATAGAACAGGGAGAGATCAACTCCATCAGATGCTACTGAGATATCCAATGAGATGGGAAGTGATATTTGACTACCAAGTTTGGTAGACTGCAGGGAGTGTATTTGAGGAGAGTTAGGAATTGGAATAAAGTATAAAACTTGGAGAAAGGATTTGTTTATATATCAGTAAATACAATCAAACTTGAAGGCTTTGAAACCTTTTTGGTTTAGCAAAGGAGCACCAGCTAAGGTTAGTGTTGAAATAGGATTTAACATTAAATTTCAGAAGTTTCGGGAGAGATGTCTCTTACAAACAACCTGTCCTTTGACATAAGATACAAAAAGTAGTTCTGAACCTACCACAAAAATCCTACACTCATTCAGCATGGATGAGCGTTTATATTCTCACTATTTCCAGAAGAAGGGGCTTGAATATTCCCAGCTATCACCTTTATTGAAAGGCTTTATGATTGACTGTTAATGACACCTGTGTCAATGATCTCTTATTCTGAAAGCTTTGTTAGTAATTTTTTTTACTAGAACCTTGAGGTCTTTTATTTCATTCATTTTATCAGCCAAGGCTGCAACAAAATGCACTCATATTTACTGTGTGATATAAAATAGAACTGTATCGGTGACTCCAAGATCTAAAGTTTCTTCATGAAAGAATATGGTGTTTATAAATATGTTTCTCTATGGAGTCCAGGAGAGGGGGAGGCCTCCTGAGAGAAGTTGGTCTCTGACATCATTCTTCTCTACAGGAATGAGGGTTTCAGAGGATGAAATGAGAATGGCTAGTCAGGGAAACAGCGTGAGAAGGACAAGCACAGAGGAACTGCCAAGCATAGATCCTGGAGGCCACAGGTCTGAAGGGGCTTATATTGTGTGGTGCTGAAGCATGATAGAATGTAGGTCTGGTTCTAATTGAAAATAAAGCTTCTGATTGAAAGCTTTTGGTTCCAGTTGAAAAATAAGCTTTTAATCCAGTTTAACTGCTGATGCACACCTTGGGAGGCAGCAGTTGATGACTCAGATACTTGGGCCCCAGTCACCCATGTGGGAGACTGGATGGAGTTTCAAGCTCCTGGTATTGGCTTAGCCCAGCCCTGGCTGTTGCAGGCATTTGACCAATAGGTGGAAGACAGTGCTGTGATGCTTGTGCGTGCTTGCGCATGCTTGCTCACTCACTCTCTCCCTCTCTCCCTCTCTCTCACCTTTTCAAAGATAAGTGATACATGGGAAAAAAAACTGAATACTTATCAAATTAGCTCTGTGTCTCTGGGGAAAAAATAACAAGACTAGAATTGGTGGTTGTGGTCGGACTTTACTTTTTTTTTTTTTTTTTAAAGATTTATTTGGATGGCAGAGTTAGAAAGTGAGAGACCACAGAAAGAAACAGCTTCACTCCCCACATGGTTGCAGTTGCCAGGAGTGGACCAGGCTGAAGCCAGGAACAGGAGCTAGTCACTCTATCTGGATTTGCCACATGGGTGGCAGGGGCCAAAGTACTTGAGCGATCTGCTGCTGCCCTCCCAGCACATTGGCAAGGAGCTGGATTGGGAGTGGAGTGGCTGGGGCTCACATCAGCACTCGTACGGGGTGCTCATAGCATTACAGGGACAGCTTAATCTGCTGCACTACAGCAACAGCACCCAGACTTTGCCTGTGTGTGTAAACTTGTAATAGAGGGAATGTAGCAATGTGCTGCTTGTGGAATTTGGAGCTAATCAGAAGGTGGGGGATAGCTAGAGGGGTTGTAGTAGAGGAAGAGTCAGCCAGTGGAGACTTGGAGATCTGCCTAGTAGGCCGCCCCACACTGAGGCAGCTCTTTTTGAGTCCTGGTACTTTAACAGAACGTAATCTGAAAACTGCGCAACCAGCCTAACCTTTCGTTCAAAGTTCTTGGCAACAAATTCCTGAATTCTAGTAACTTCCACTGAAATAAAGCAAGGGTTCTTAAACTAATAAAATAAATTATTAATATAATGTCTTATTTTTATGAGAATTGTAAGATTTCATATAGTCTCAAAGTATATACAGTCTAATTGGGGTTACTTTTGTCAGTTGACTATGTCCTAATGCATAATACTCATATTTATCTATACAGAGTAGAGTATATTTGTCAGCTTTTTGTTACTATAATGAAATACCTGGGCAAGCTTCTTAGGAAGGGAAGAAGTTGATTTTGGCTTATGATTCTGGAGTCCAAGATTGGGCAGACATTTGATTTGGCCTCCGATGAAGGTAGTGGGTGGCACATGCAGAGGAAGAATCATGTGGTGAACCAGGCAGCAGAGAGAAAGGCTGGATCCCACATAGGCTTTTTTTTTTTTGACAGAATTAGTGAGAGAGGGAGACAGAGAGAAAGGTCTTCCCTCCATTGGTTCACCCTCCAAATGGCTGCCACGGCCGGAACTTCGCTGATCCAAAGCCAGGAGCCAGGTGCTTCCCCTGGTCTCCCATGCGGGTGCAGGGCCTGAGCACTTGGGCCATCCTCCACTGCACTCCCGGGCCACAGCAGAGAGCTGGCCTGGAAGAGGAGCAACCAGGACTAGAACCTGGTGCCCATATGGGATGCCGGCGGCACAGGCGGAGGATTAGCCAAGTGAGCCATGGTGCTGGCGGCCCCCCCCCCCCCCAGGCTTTCTAACCGACCCTCTCATGAAGATTTCATTCCAGCCAGGGGCACATTCCCAGTGGCCTAAGAATGTTCCACAAGGCCACTCCTAAACACCGTAATTTCATTAAATTTCTATTCTTTCGGTATCATTAACTTACATGACTTCAAGATTTAAATGTGTGCATGAGTTTGGGAACCAAATCATGTTCAAAGTATAGCACAGAGTCTGTGTTGTGGATATCATTTATAAATATTGATAATAGAGGATGTGCATAGTTACTAAAGAGTGGTACTAATTTCTGTGTTCATGGAAATAACCTTTTAAATTGTAAGCTAGTAAACATTACTTAAAGTTGGTAAGGAATTGCCTGTGTTTCTGAGTATTTTAGTAAAAGGCTTAAAAGTTTTATGAACTTACAAATGGCTGAACTGAGTGTAAAATAGTTGAAGAATTTAGAAGAATTAACTAGAAATAATGTACTTTCTAGTTAAACAACATTTATGGAACTCTTATTAACTATATGGCATTTTTCCAGATACTTTGTTTTAATTCATTTAATTCTGCAGTGTCAAAGATAAAGTGAAAACTGATTTTAAAAAGGTTAAGAATGAGAAAATAAACAAGTTTTGAGTGATGTTAATAGAAAATTTGTTACAATGTTAGCAACTAGTATAAACTTGGATGCTTTCATCATGTGGGTGCCCTTCATTGCATCTTATTCAAATATTCTGGTATTTAGAGACAACTCTTTTTTTAAGGGTTTATTTATTAATCTGAAAGCAGAGTTTTATGTTACAATGTTAGCAGCTAGTATAAACTTGAATGCTTTGTCATCATGTGGGTGCCTTTCATCACATCTTATTCAAATATTCTGGTATTCAGAGACAACTCTTTTTTTTTTTTAAGGGTTTATTTATTAATCTGAAAGCAGAGTTACAGAGAGAGAGAAGGAGAATTGGAGAGAGAGCTTCCATCTGCCGGTTAACTCCCCAACTGGCTGCGAAGGCCAGGGCTGAGGTGGATCAGAGCCAAAAGCTTCTTCCTTGTTTCCAGTGGGTACAGGGCCTAAGATTCTGGGCCATCTTCTGCTGCTTTCCCAGGCACATTAGCAGGGAGCTGGATCAGAAGTGGAACAGCTGGGATTCGAACCAGTGCCTGTGTGGGATGCTGGCACAGCAGCACCACAGTGGTAGCCCCCAAAGACACCTCTTATATCTGCCCTTGTCAGTAGCATTCAACAAGTTGTAGACAGAGACTTTTAGCTAGTTATTTTTTCTAAAACTTAAATGTTTAATAACCAGTTCTTAAGAGTTGTATAGTTGGTCCTGTAAGATGTTGGCATCTGAGGAAAATGATGTTGCGGATTTTGGTAAAATATGTTAATATTCAAACTGGATGCAATGCCATCATCCCCTAAAGGTGCCAGTTCAAGTCCTGGCTGCCCCATTTTCAATCTTCTCTGCTAATGGCCTGAGAAACCAGTGGAAGATGGCCCAAGTACTTGGGCCCCTGACACTCACTCAGGAGACCTGGATGAAGCTCCTGGCTCCTGGCTTTGGCCTGGCCTAGCCCTGGATGTTGTAGCCATCTGAGGAGTGAAGCAATACGTGGAAGATTCTCTCTCTCTCTTTCTCTCTGTTCCCACCTTCCCCCCGTAACTCTGCCTTTCAAATAAATAAATCATAAAATCTTTAAAAATATGTTAATATTCTATTCAGAACTACTGAAATACTTGCTTGAATAGTGTGACTGTGCTTTTTTGATTATTAGTGCAGTAGTAAGCAGCACTCAGGTGTTCTGGGAAGAGTTGGTATTCTGTAGTGCTGATGTGTTTTGAAATGAGAGGGAATTGGGACAGAGAATGAGCATAACACAGCAGAGTGCCCATTGGAAGCTTCTTGGCTTAAAATAAATATTTTGGGTATCAAGGATTCTTATGTATTTTTGCCCAGTAAATTCATCTGAGATTGTGTGGCTTAGGGCCTTCCTCTAATCTATCCCCTAAAACAGATTCCTGTGGAATGTGGAGATATTTTTCTTTTCTATATGTTATTAATTTGTTATTTTTTTTACAATATTTATAGACCAAGTGTTTCCTCTTATTTCTCTAGGGAGTTGGTGTCTCAGTTCATGGGCTTTTCCGAGTGGCTACTGAGAAGACTGTTTTTGCAATGCCAGAAACAGCAATAGGTAAAAACGAAATACCAGAAAATTTTCATAATTATGTTTAAAATTATCTTGTGATTCATTTCAGATTATGCCATTCTTGAAGGAATTATTGAAATGTTATGTGACATACAACAATGAAAGAACTGTAAAAAAGAAATTAAACAGGATATTGTTATTAGCTTATTAATTGTACCAGACTAACACATTGTTAATTTTAGATAAAAGATTAAGGGGAAATATTCTTGCATTTAGATTTATGATGGATTTTAATTTTGGCATATGATATGAGGCATAGATCAAAGGCATAGTATACTACTTTGCATATGGAAATTTAGCCATTTCAGCAGCAGTTATTGAAAAGGCTAATGTTGGCATAGCAGCTAAAGCCTCCACCTGCAGTGCTGGCATCCCATATGGGCACCTGGGTACTGGTTTGAGTCCCGGCTGCTCCAATTCTGATCCAGCTCTCTGCTATGGCTTGGGAAAGCAGTAGATGGCCCAAGTCCTTGGGCCCCTGCACTCGTGTGGGAGACCCGGAGGAAGCTCCAGGCTCCTGGCTTCAGATTGGTGCAGCTCCAGCTATTGCAGCCATCTGGGTAGTGAACCATTGGATGAAAGACTTTCTCTCTTCTCTCTCCTCTCTCTACCTCTCCCTCTCTGTAACTCTGCCTGTCAAATAAATAAATCTTTAAAAAAAAAAAAGGGGGGGGCAGTGCTGCGGCTCACGAGGCTAATCCTCCACCTGTGGTGCCGGCACCCCAGGTTCTAGTCCCGGTTGGGGTGCTGGATTCTGTCCCGGTTGCTCCTCTTCCAGTCCAGCTCTCTGCTGTGGCCTGGGAAGGCAGTGGAGGATGGCCCAAGTCCTTGGGCCCTGCACCCGCATGGGAGACCAGGAGAAAACACCTGGCTCCTGGCTTTGGATCGGCACGGCACGCCAGCTGCAGCACACCTGCAGTAGCGGCCATTTGGGGGATGAACCAATGGAGGGAAGACCTTTCTCTCTGTCTCTCTCACTGTCTAACTCTGCCTGTCAAGAAAGAAAAAAAGAGGAACTCTTTTACTCCTGATTTAAAAAAAAATTATATATGAGAATAAAAAGTGGTCCCTCAGTAGTCTGGTGTATCTTCACTATGCATAATACATACAACATATAAAAATGTGTTAATTAACTTTTTATTGGCAAGGGTTCCAGTTATGACCAGGCTATTGGTAGTGAAGTTTTGGAGGAGTAAAAAAATTACAGATTACATTGGGATTTTCCAGTTTTGGTGGGTGCCAAAACCCATGTTGTTCAGGGGTCATCTGTATATGTTGATCCTGGTACCAGCACCACACTTCTTTGGTTCTTGTTGTTGTTGGTGTTTTGTTTTTTTTTTTTTTTTTTTTGACAGGCAGAGTGGACAGAGAGAGAGAGAGACACAGAGAGAAAGGTCTTCCTTTACCATTGGTTCACCCTCCAATGGCTGCTGCGGCCGGCGCACCGCGCTGATCTGAAGCCAGGAGCCAGATGCTTCTCCTGGTCCCCCATGCAGGTGCAGGGCGGGCCACAGCAGAGAGCTGGACTGGAAGAGGAGCAACCGGGACAGAATCCGGTGCCCTGACCGGGACTAGAACCCCGGGGTGCCGGCCCCACAGGTGGAGGATTAGCCTATTGAGCCGTGGCGTCGGCCTGGTTCTTGTTGTTTTATAATAAGCCATGAAGTCAGATAGTGATAAGTTTCCATCTTTGCTCCTTTTCTCCCTCAAGTTGTTTTGGTTGACTTGGTTCTTTTCTTTCTTAAAGGTGAATTTTATAGCGAGTTTGAAGATTTCAATAAAAACCCTCCTGGGATTTTGATTTTGATTGTTTAGAATCTAAATATAGGTGAATTTAAGGCATATTAACAATGTTGAATCTTCATGAGCAATATAGATTTCTCCATTTCACTTCTCAGGAAAATTTTGTGGTTTTCAGTGTATAGGTCTTCTTACACATATTTTTTCTGATTTATCTAAGTATTTCATACAGTTTGATTATAAGTGACTTTTTTTTGAAAAAGATTTATTTGAAATGCAGACTTAGTTGGAGGAGAGATCAATCCTCTGTTTGTTCATACCCCAAATAGCTGCAACAGCTGTGGCTGGGCCAGGCCATAGCCAGGAGCCAGGAGCTTCATCTCGATCTCCCAAGTAGTTGCAGAGGCACAAGGACTTGGGCCATCATCCATTGCTGTCCCAGGTGCAATTTCAGGGAGCTGGGGGAAATGAATGAGGCAGCAAAAGCTCAAACTAATGCCCATAATGGGATGCCAGTATTGCAGGCAATGGCATAACCCACTGCATCATGGCGCTGGCCCCACATTATAAATGACATTTAAAAACAATAGTTCTGATTATTACTGTGTGGAGACATTGTCACCAGTGTGGAGACATACCATTGACTCTTGTATTCCACAAACCTGGTAAACCCACTTATTGGTGTTGCTTTTTTTTCTAGATTTCATTAGATTTTCTAAGTAGATAATTATATAATTTACAAATAAGATCAGTTTAACATTTTCCTTTGTAATCTGCATTCTTTTGGTTTCTTTCTCTTGCCATATTACACTGGGTAGAACTTGTAAGACAAAGTTGAATAAAAGTAGTGAGAAGGGCCTGCACTGTGGCTTAGTCGGAAAAGCTGCAGCCTACAGTGCCAGCATCCCATATGGGAGCTGGTTCGAGTCGTGGCTGCTCCACTTCTGATTCAGCTCTCTGCTGTGGTCTGGAAAAGCAGTGGAAGATGGTCCAAGTCCTTGGGCCCCTGCACCCACATGGGAGACCTGGAATGAGCTCCTGGCTTTGGATTGGCCCAGCTCTGGCCATTGTGGCCCCCTGGGGAGTAAACTAGTAGATGGAGAACCTCTCTCTTTCTCTCTCTGCCTGTGCCTCTAACTCTGCCTTTCATATAAATAAATCTTAAAGGCAGAGTTCTTCCCGTCTTCTCAACCTTACATTGGGTCTTTCCCCAACAAGTATGATGTTAGGTAGAGGTATCCCATAGCTGCCCTTTATCAGGTGAGGATGTTTCCATTTATTTTTACATTGCTGCGGGTTTTTGTTTTTTTTTTTTAATTAGGAATGCATTTTGGCTTGTCAAATGTGTTTTGCCTGCATCTATCATGGTGGTGATTGGTTTTTCTTTTTTAGTTAATGGTGAGTTCGTTTGGTTTTTCAACATTAAACCAGCCTTAAATTGCTAGGACAAATGTCACTCTGATATGATGTGTTGTCATTTTTATATGCTACTGAGTTTGATTTACTATAATTTAATTTGGAATTTTTGCACCTGTGTTAGTGAAGGATTTGGTCTGTGATTTTCTTGTAATGTCCTTGTTTTGGATATCAGGGTATTGCTGGTTTCATTTTCTGGAAAAGTTTGAGTGGAATCATGTTTTTCTATGAATGTTTAGTAGAATTCCTCAGTGAAGCTGTCTTAGTTCAAAGTTTCTTTATGGGAAAGCTTTAAATAAATTTGAACACTTTAAGAGTCAGAGAGATATTCAGGTTTTCTAATTCTTCTTGTACAACTTTGGTAGTTTTGGTCTTATGAGGAACTTGCCCAGTATATTAGCATAAATTTGTTCATAACAGTTTCTTATCTTTAACATCTGTTGAATGTACATTTGTCAATAAGCCTTTTTTTTTTTTTTTTTTTTGACAGGCAGAGTGGACAGTGAGAGAGAGACAGAGAGAAAGGTTTTCCTTTGCCATTGGTTCACCCTCCAATGGCCGCCTGATCCAATGGCAGGAGCCAGGTACTTATCCTGGTCTCCCATGGGGTGCAGGGCCCAAGTACTTGGGCCATCCTCCACTGCACTCCCGGGCCACAGCAGAGAGCTGGCCTGGAAGAGGGGCAACCGGGACAGAATCCGGCGCCCCGACCGGGACTAGAACCCAGTGTGCCGGCGCCGCAAGGCGGAGGATTAGCCTAGTGAGCCGCGGCGCTGGCTGATTTCATTTATCTTAAGATCAAATGTTTGTTTTCATTTACTTTCTATATTGTTGATTTCTGCTGTACTACTTTTTACTTCTCTCTGAGAAGATGTCCTTTCAGCTGAAATTTGATTAGAAAAGAACCAGCTATATTAAGATCTGCAAGCATAATCTTAAGGCATTGACAAAAGTTTTAATTCAAAGACATTGAAGGAACAATGATCTTTTCTTGTTTAGAGAACTAAATGGAGGCAATTATGTCTAAATCAAGGGCAAGAGAGATATAATATGCTCTTGAAAAGGTACACAGGGACCTCTGGTAAAATGTTTGGATTTAAACCTAAGTATAATGGGAAGCTGTGTGAGTTTAAAGCAGGGAGTCACATGATCTGGTTTACATTTTAATCATTTTAATACCATCGTTCTGGTTGCTTTGAGGATAATAGATTGTAGGGGTGCCAGAAGTATAATTGGTCTAAAGCTGCACTGTCTAAAACTGTAGCCACTAGCCATGTGTGGCTATTTAACTTTAAATATAACTTACTTAAATCTAAGTAAAATAAATTCTGTTCCTCTGTAGCATCTGTCACATTTCAAGTGCTTACTACTTACATATGGCTAGTGGCTGTCTTATTGGACACACAAATTAAAGAGCATTTTCATCATTACAGAAAGTTTTGTTGAGCAGCACAGGTCTACAGAGAGGAGATTTTGGCTTGGGGTAGCGTGAAGATAGAGTTGAATTGAGAGACTAGTTTTGAAGAATGTTTTTGGATAACCTGGCTAGGTAATAAAACAATCAGGAATAACTCTTAAGTATTTAGCTTGTGCTACTAGTTGGATGAGGCTGATTAATGTAGGAATAATGTAGTTAGAGGAATGTGAGTTGAGACTTGTGTTTTTGGCATGTGCTGTGTGAGATGTTTATTATCCACAAGTTATGTCTTGAATACAAATCTAAAAGTACGGTATTCAAGGGAAAACTCATAACTGGGTTTGGGTGTGTCTCAGTGTACTGAGACGGGGTTGTTTTAACAGCAGAAATTTGTTAAATTTCTGGAGGCTCAAAGTTCAGGATGAAGGTGTCTGCAAGTTTGGTTTCTCCTAAGGCCTCTCTCTCTGGCTTTTAGACAGCTGCCTTCTTGCTGTATTCTCACATGGCCTTTTGTCTGTGCACGCATCCATTGTGGTATCCCTTTCTCTTCCTTTAAAGACGCGATTTCTGTTAGATTATCAACTAATTTAACCCTACTTACCTTTTTTAAAGACCCTGTCTTCAAATACAGTCACATTGGTAGTTAGTGATGTGAGGGACATGACCCCCAGCTGTGCTTGTTCCATGTTCTTGTCTTCATGTGAGAAAACAATTCAAGAAGGGGATGTAGATAGAGGTGAGCAGGGAAGCACAATTTATTTAAAGGGATAGTATGCACTCAGGAGTGCAGACAACGTCACAAGTTTGCCTCCACCAAAATTTGGGCCATCATTTTATAGAGTAAGGGGGTGGTGCCCTAATTGAATACTCAAAGGAGGTATGGTTTGAGGCAGGACTGCAACACACATGGTGATCCCCAGGAAAGTGTCATATCTGATGTGTGCTAGGTATTGAGGCTCAAGTGCGTGATGGATGGGGAATGGGTGTGTTGAGCCTGCAGCCAAATTGGATCAGTATGGAAGGGGGTAGGGCTTGGCTGGTGCATGGGGGGCTGTGGCACAGATGCCGCAGGCAGTCTCAGTTCCTCATCACCCATTAGCTACCTGCTTACATCATCAGGACTTCAGCATGTGAATTTTGGATGGACATAATACAGTCCATTTCAGAGAGTAATGATCATATAGATGTCATTTAAAGCTTTGGGAGCTAAGGAAAATGTGTATTTAGCAAAGAAGAAGTGACCAGCATCAAGCCTAGGCACAACAACATTTAGAGGTCAACCAAAAGAAGTGGAATCAGCAAGGGAGACTGCAAAGAGGCAAGAGGGATGAAGAGAATGTGGTGCCTTCAAAGTCGGGTGTGTTTCAGGATGGAGGGTGTTTTCCCTTGCGAAGAATGCTGCTGAGGCTCTAGGGCCAGAAAGAGGAGGTCGGGCAACTGAAAGACCACAGTAGCTGGAGTGAAGTGAGTTTGTAGCTAAGAGATGGGATTGAAAAAATGATCAGAGACCTTTGAGGACTTTGATCAAGCTATTTACTTTCATCTGGAGAAATGGGCTGCCATGGAAGGATTTTAAGCAGTGGAACACAAGACTCTGATTGGGATTTATTTTTTTAAGAAGATTGTTGTAGCCCTTGTCTTTGGAGAACCCTGTGGAGGAGCAGGAATCAGTGGCATGCAGTTACTAATGAGGGATAAGGGGTGAACAAGACAAGGTGTCCAGACTGGAAGGTGATAGGAGTGGGGGAGGTCATATGTTCAACTTCAGTTTTGTCTGGTTTGAGGAACTAAGAGAGATTTCTGTTCACAGTAACATGGTTTATTCTTTATAGGAACTTTTTGTCAAGTAGAATCAGGAAGAATTTGAGTGCTCGTGTTTTTACCTCAATTTCATTAAATGAAGCAACCTTAAATGAGATACATGAATCATAAAACTGGAAAGTCATACATCCCTATGCTTTCTGTCACTGTGGCAGCCCAGATTGAATTGGGGAGTACATTTATAGAAAAAGAGAGAGGGAAAAAGTTGTAATTAAGGAACTCTTAAACACCAAAACCATATTATAGTAGCACATGTTTTCATTTAAAAAATTTTTTTTTATTTATTTATTTGAGAGGCAGAGTTACAGAGAGGGAGAGATAGAGAAAGGTTTTACATCAGCTGGTTCACTCCCCAAACAGCTGCAGCCGATCCAAAGCCAGGAACAAGGAGATGCCTCTGGGTCTCCCACATGGGGGCAGGGGTCCAAGCACTTGGGCCATCTTCTACTGCTTTTCCAGGCCATCAGCAGGGAGCTGGATCAGAAGTGGAGCAGCAGGGACATAAACCTGTGCCTATATGGGATGCTGGTGCCGCATGCAGGGGCTTAACCTACTACACCACATCATTGGCCCATGGCAATTATTTTTCTATAAACTACTTTCAGTTGTTGCTAGTAGAGAAGGAATTTTAAAAATACTGATGGTTAAGAAAAGAGTAAATGCAAGTGATTTTGTTAGGTATTAACTTGTTCATTTTAGGACTAAGGGTTATGCATCAATTTTTAAATATCTAGAGTATTAGATAATTGACTAAGCTTGGGAAATGATTTAAACATGAATCATGAATTTTCTCAGTGTGATAGCCCTTAGATTATGTATGTTTTTTCCTATGCGTATTTGTAAAGAAAATAGTTTTTCAATTTTACGAATTTTAGAGATTGTTAAAAAATAAATTAGTGATAAGAAAATTTAGATAGCCTTATTGAATTCTTCTGATATGCCAAAGATTGTGTCATCAAATATTTTATTGAATTGTATAGAAATAAGTTAATATTTTGATCACCCAGATTGGCACAATTTTTGCAAATCTTTTGTGATATTGATTGCAATGCATAGTACTTGATTATAACATTTGTAGTATAGATTCTAACTCCAAAGAGAAATTCCTGTATTATCTAAAGTAAAGAAGCTATATTCATCTTCCATTTGAGCATTGTTATCTCTTATTTATTACATTTCATTATAGGACTATTCCCTGATGTGGGTGGAGGTTATTTCTTGCCAAGACTTCAAGGAAAACTTGGATACTTCCTTGCTTTAACAGGATTCAGACTAAAAGGAAGAGACGTTTACAGAGCAGGAATTGCTACACATTTTGTAGATTCTGCAAAGGTAATTATTTTGATGTTTGTACTTTGTGTTGTTGGAACAAAAACACAAATTATGATATGGGGTGAGGGGTTAGATGGAGAGATAAGTGGGGATATATTAGAGTTTGTGTTGACTGCAATAACCACTATGCATGTGGCAATTTTACTTAAAATTAATTAAAAATAAAATATATAACCCAGATTGTTCTAATACCACACACAAGTGCTCGATAGCCAGAGGGAAACAAAGATGAATGACCCATTTCTCCTTAATTCTTCCACATTCATTTATTCTGCATAAGGCAACATTTGCTGTGGGGGTAATGTATGTGCATTCAACTTCAGTTACATTTTTTATTGTTATTCATCTGAAGACAGAGCATCATAATTTTAAGACAAAGGTTCTAAAAATGAGTATGAGTTTTTTTTAAAAATATTTTTATATTTTTGTGGAATTCCAATCTGTTTTCCTTTTTTTTCCTCTTTAGTTGAGAACATTAGAGGAAGATTTGTTAGCCTTGAAATCTCCTTCAAAAGAAAATATTGCAAATGTCTTAGAAACCTATCATACAGAGGTAATATTGTCCCTGTTCCAACATCAATATTTTAATTAATGGGGAAAGAGAAGTGATTGAAAAGTTAAATGTTGGTGAATAATATAGTTTGTGGATGTAGATAAATGCACTGAGTATTTATTCACTTTAAAGCTTGGAGGGCAGGCCAGTGCTTCCCATTTGTTAGGAAATGGCTTCTCTACTGCCAGCCACACAGCTGGTGGACTTCAGTGCATGGCCTTATGATCAGCCCTTGCAAAAGGCTTTTTACAACACAGTAAAACATTGCTGTAAATAAGGTTCGATGTTGAGACTATTTGTGGAACTGCTAAAATAGAACTCTGGTTTCTAGCTTTTTTTTTTTTTTTTAAGATTTTATTTTATTTGAAAGGTTATGGAGGGTGAGAGGAGAGACAGAAAGAGAGAACTTCCATCTGCTGGTTCACTCACCAAATGGCCACACCAGCCATGATTGGGCTAGGCCGAAGTCAGGAAGGAGGTTCACCTGGGTCTCCCACATGGGTGCAGGGCTCCAAGGACTTGGGCTATCTTCCGCTGCTTTCTCAGGCACGTTAGCAGGGAGCTGGACCAGAAGAGGAGCAGCTGGAACTTGAACCAGCAGCCATATAGGATGCCAGCACTGTAAATGGCAACTTAATACACTACACCACAGCACTGGCCCCAAAAAGAAAACGCTTGTAGATACTGACATTCATGAACCCCTTAATGACACATCCAAGTGTTTGTCTGATCATCTTATTCATAGAGTTGACAGTGCTATAATTACAACTGATATTAACACATAGTGTGTCCTAAGTTATTCCCAGGCAAAAAAAAACAAAAAACAAAAAACAAAACAAAAAAAAACACAAAGGCAGGCACCAGAAGAAAAGCAGATAAGGCATAGAGAAGGAGACAAAACACACATACACACAAACAAAAGAAAACAACAATCTATAATTGTTCTTTTCTTCAGATTAGAGGAAAATATTTTATCTATGAAACCACAACAGATGTTATAAAGAGAAAAATTTGAAAATTAAGAATATGTTAGCAAATATGAAAAAAGTAAAATTGATGGTTGAGGAAAACTCTAAGAGAAAGAAAAGGATAATGAGATGGAAAACAGAGAGAATGGAAAATTAGAGGTAGTATTCCAGGAGGACCAGTGTCAAATTATTAGCAATTCATAATGAGAAGATAGAGGGAAAGAAATACTTAGAGAAATAGCAGAGTTACCAAGGACTGAAGAACACAAGTGCAGATTGTACTTCATGCAGTGACTGGGAATACAGAGCATAGAATATTTCATACTTTTTTTTTAAAGATTTATTTGTTTATTTGAATGTCAGAGTTAGAGAAAGAGAGAGAGACAGACAGACAGACAGAAGTCTTCCATCTGCTCCTTCACTCCCCAGATGGCCATAATTGTCAGGAGGAAACCAGGAGCCAGGAGCTTCATCTGGGCCTCCCACATGGGTGGCAGGGGCCCAAACACATGGGCCATCTTTTTCTGCTTTTTCAGGCCATTAGCAGAGAGCTGGATCAGAAATGCAGCAGCTAAGACACAAACCAGTGCCCTGTGGGATGCTTGCATTGCAGGCTGCGATTTTACTTGCTATGCCACAAAGCTGGCCCCTCATCTGTTTTGTTGTGTTTTTGTTTTTAAAGATTTATTTTATTTATTTGAAAGTCAGAGTTACACCAGAGGGGAGAGATTGACCTTTCATCTACTGGTTCACTCCCTAAATGGCCACAATTGCCAGGGCTGGGCCAGCCCAAAGCCAGGAATCTGGAACTCACTCCATCCAAGTGTCCCACATGGGTGGTGAGGACCCAAGCACTTGGGACATCTGCTGCTGCTTTCCCAAGCACATTAGCAGTGAGGTTAATTGGAAGTGGGGCAGCCGGGACTTCAACTGGTACCTGGATACATGAGATGCCAGCATCCTAGGCAGCAGCTTAACTTGTCACAAGGCCAGTCCCCCCTCATCTGTATTTTGGGATCACTTGACAGTCTTTCATGTTGTCAAGTTGAGAAAATTTGGGGTGGATTATGGTATGTAGGAGTTGAAGGGCTTTACTAAAGAGTTATGTTAAATGTGTAATTAGTAATCTAGGGAAATTGTCTTGGATTATTCTGTTATTCAATATTTCTCTGTGCTCTCCATGAATATGTTGACTCCATTTTGAACAAATTGATTTGAAACCAAGGCAGATTGATTAGTTAAAAAAAAATGAGAATACAGCTCTGAGTCTAGAGTGATCTGTTTAATGGTAACAATGTGAAATATCCTAAAGAAAAGTGAAAATCTTGTACTTGTAGTCTGAAGTACTAAGTTAATAGTACTGGGTGAGACAAATGTAGCCAACAGAGCACAGGTTTAAAAAAACAAAACAAAACAACAAAAAGCAGTTTTAATTGATTGGAACTCAGTATAAATCAGCCACATAACAGACCTACCTTGACAGTAATCCAGAGTTAATCCTGTTAGTAAAAGTATTATAGGGGCTGGTGCTGTGGCATAATGGGAAAAGCTGCAGCCTGAAGTGCCTACATCACATATGGGCACTGGTTCGAGTTCCGGCTGCTCTACTTCCAATCCAGTTCTCTGCTGTGGCCTGGAAAAGCAGTAGAAGGTGGCTCAAGTCCTTGGGCCCCTGCACCCACACGAGAGACCCGGATCAGCTCAGCTCTGGCTGCTGTGGCCATCTGGGGAGTTAACCAGTGGATGGAAGACCTCTCTCTCTCTTTCTCTGTTTCTGCATTCAAATAAATAAATCTTTAAAAATATTATATACAAAATAAACAAACACATGTGAAGCCCTGTTGTATTTTCCTATGATCCAGCCATACCTGCTGCTAAAGTATGTGCTACAGACTTTAGGAATGACTTTAGAGTTTGGTGCTGAGGCACAGGGGGTTAAACTGCACTTGCCACACTGGCATCCTATATTGGAGCACCACTTTGAGTCCTGGTTCCTCTGCTGCTGATCCAGCTCCCTGCTAATGTGCTTGGGAAGCAATACTTGGACCTTTGCCATTCACATGGGAGACCTGGATGGAGTTCAAGGCTCCTGGCTTCAGCCTGAACAGTCCTAGCTGTTTGTGGCCATTTTGGGAGTGAACGAACGGATGGAAAATCTTTTTCCCTTTGTCTCTCTGTCACTCTGCTTACAAACAAACAAAATAACCCTGATAAACTAAAACTTGTCCATGTGAAGGACGTGGATTGAGGGGACACAAAACTGTGCCGTGTGAAATAATTTAAGTGAAAGAGAGATGGACTGTAAGATTTTGTGAAAGAGAGCAGATTTTTGTCCACAACTGAAGCAATAAAAATCAGGCACTTGTGAGCTCCTTCTTGAGGTGCTGTTTTCTGTCTCTTGGGGTCAGAGCTACAAGGATTCCAGGGATTTAGTTGAGAATTTTTAGATGGAAATTTGGGCAGAATCAAATCTTAGATCCCTTACAATCCCTAGATTTGTAGATACATTTTAGTAATAATGTATCATATGTAATGAAATAAAAGTAAAAGGACATTTTTACCTTTGACATGTCTGAGAGCAAGTCTAGAGTACTACATACTGAATTTGAGCATATGGTTGTATTTATGAGACTGTGAGATGTAATTTGGCCAAAAATGATGATCTGTCATGAAGTATGTAATTAAGTATGATGAAATTTTTTAAGAATTTAAAAAAGATCTCAGGTACTTCAAATTGAATAAAAGATTTTTCTTTTTAAACAGTCGAAGACTGATCAAGACAAGCCGTTTATACTTGAGGAACACATGGACAAAATAAACAGGTATTAAAAAGAGATCTCAATTATATCCATTACTTTGAAAAGACTTTATGAAATTGAATTTGCTAACATTATAATTACATTGTGTTTGAAATGTATCAAATCCTGAGATCAGATAGCATAGTGTTTCTATTTTCCCTTACCTTAAAGTAGCTCCTTGCCTACTCTTTCAAAAAGAAATAAATTCAATGTATTTAAGTAATCTACCATGTTAATTCATTTAAGTGCAAAAAATCTTTGTCTTGTTTTCTTTGTTTTTGGTGAGGAAGAAAGGTTAGAAAATAGTAATTGAATTAACTTACTTTTTTATCTTTGTAAGGTCATTGTGTCTGAAATTGTTATCAAGCCAATCAGCAAAAGGTTTTGGGAAGTGACTTGATAAACTGACAGCCTTCTTAAAGAAATAAGAGGAGAAAAACTATTGGAAAATAATCATCTCTACATTTTAAAAGCATCCATTTTTCACAGTTGAGACATTTATTTGTGTATAAGTATAACAGATGAAACAAAGCAGAAATGGAAAATTTTGGTTTTATTTTGCATTAGTGAGGGTAGTCTATAAACAGTTAGCCAGGATAGTAATATTCAAGTTCTTCATCCTGTAAAACAGGTTGGCAAGGTCTTTGTTTTGAAATGGGGAGGAGGGAAGCCTATGCTCAAATATGTGTGTGTCTTAGAGGCAGTTATTTGCATGTTGGCGACATCATGTGTTTCCTTTGTTATAGGTGGTTTTCAGCCAGTACTGTGGAACAGATTACTGAAAATCTGCGGCAAGATGGCTCACCTTTTGCCTTAGAGCAGTTGAAGGTAATATACTGAACCTGAGTGTGGTGTAGTATTACAACAGAGAAACTTCTCTGAGGGGTATCAGTGCTTCCTGGTAGTGACATATCCCACCGTATGTTAGAAAGGAGTTCCACTAAACCTTGACCTAAACGCAAGTTTCCTATCTACTTGCTGGATGTCAAGGGCAAAATCAAATTGGTTGTGTTACTCAGCTTTTCATTACTATGACTATAAAATATCTGAGAGTAGCTACTAGGAAGGAAAATTTATTTTGGCTCACAGTTTTGGGGATTCACAAGTCTGAGATTTGACAACCCTATGAATCTTGAGTATGATGAGCCTGGAGGCTGGATGTGGAAGAGCATGTGGGGAGGAACGGTCACATAGCAGAAGCCAGGAAGCAGAGGCAGGGATTGTGCTTGTTCCCCAAGTGCATTTATCTCTTGTAAAAAAGCCTTTGTGAGACTGTTATGTCAGCATCCCAGTCTAATCACCTCCCAAAGGTTCCACCCTGAGACACCACAATTGGATCAAGGCTTCACCCTATCAGCACCATCAATCGATGACTTTGGGACTTTACATCTGCATGAGTTGGGTGAGCCAAATCCTGTTCACTCCATAGCACTGGTTTTCTGTCCTTTGACAGAGAAGGTCTTTCGTAAGCACACTCATTTCTTTTTTTTTTTTTTTAATCTTTTATTTAATGAATATAAATTTCCAAAGTGCGGCTTATGGATTACAATGGCTTCCCCCCCATAACGTCCCTCCCACCCGCAACCCTCCCCTTTCCCACTCCCTCTCCCCTTCCATTCACATCAAGATTCATTTTCGATTATCTTAATATACAGAAGATCACCTTAGTATACATTGAGTAAGAATTTCAACAGTTTGCTCCCACACAGAAACATAAAGTGAAAAATAATAGATGATATTTTTTAAATGATGATGAAATCAGATCAGACCTATTGTCATGTTTAATCCCAGTGAGAGTCAAGTTGGG